TGTTGTTCGATGCATTAAAACTACTAAAATTTACGCTGCACTTTTATTTTTGTTCTCTAAAATTTAATTTTCTTATCTAGCGTTGGGTCAACTGATATATTTACACATTATTTCAAACGCCAAACTCCAGTCGTCAGGTAATGTGCGTCAGCTTTATAAAAAAAACTATATGAGTTGACCCTTTCATATCTATTATAAGAAAAGATCTTTGGTATAGAACAAACAATTTGAATCAACAGCTGCATTTTCTATTCTCACTAAAAGGTTTTTAATACCCGGTCTTAAAATATTTTATTGCTTTGAATTTACGAAACTGTTAGCCATAAATCACACACCTGTATTTTTTGTTATTCTATTTTTACTAAGAGGTGTCTCATAGAAGTCGCTCATAATAAATATCCTAATATTTTGAATTTACAAACTAGAAAGATATAAAAAGATGTTTAATTCTCTCCTTCCTGGATTTATTATGGTATTTCCACTATTATTTTTGATTATACGTTTTAATATACAATTATTTTTGTCCCTTCTGCACAAGTGTTTTATAGTTGTATTTATTATGCCTATTTCTATTTGTATTGAATTTGATGTACCGTTTCTAAGTTTTCGTCTTTCTTCTACATGTCATATGTCACATGTCACATTTTTCCTATCTATTTTTTCTTCACTTTAGCTTTATCTGATATGACTCAGTGGATCAGCTTCAGCTTCATCTGATATAACTTAGCGGATCAGCATCAGCTTCATCTGATATGATTCGGTGGATTGAACCACTTGTTTGTGCGCATTGGGTTTACCAAATTATTGACAATCCCACATTTCCCGACTCGGTTTTAGAAAATCATAAATAAAAATAGCAATCAATATTTCACGACAGTACCTACTTACAAGTATAATTTGCTAATTGATGTGCTTAAATTGCCGTAACTGTCATATTTTTTTTATTTTGTATACAGTAATAGAGCATATTCGTGACTTTTTTCACTGCATCTAGTAATCTCCGGAGATAATCTATATTTTCTGCAGTATTATTGTGTGCATCTCGAATGTAGTGATCGGTAAGTAATCTTTATTACTTTATTCTCAAGGGCTTTCTTCAATATTCTACTCTAACTAAGACATATGTATTGTTATTATTTTATCTGGCAGGGATTTTTATTTTTGAATAATTGCGTCAATAGTTCATTTTTCGTTATACCAAAGGCGTTACAGTAATTAAAAAAATAGAGAAAATATATTTTAGCTAGTATTTAGCTTAATAGTTCGTTGGAAAGGGTTTGAAAAGAAGAAGTCTAAAATATATCACACTTCACTTTAACTTTAAGGATCTGTTTGTTAATAACGATTTATTGTTTGGAGATACACTTTGCGATACAACAACACAAAAGTAGATACACTGGTTGTGAATAATTTATGGATTCGACCGTTACTTGATGGAAATTCATTTTATGTAACAATAAAACACTGAAAACTTCGTTTTCAAACTTCCACAAAATTTATTTTAAATCTTATCACTACAGCTGTTTCGGCTGAGAAAGGCAATCACTTGAGAAAGGCAATCAGCCGAAACAGCTGTAGTGATAAGATTTAAAATAAATTTTGTGGACGTTTGAAAACAAAGTTTTCAGTGTTTTATTGTTACACTGGTTGTGATTTAATATGGGACATTCAGTATAACAAAATTTATTTAATTTTTATTCTTGAACGTTTATATCGAATTATTTTTTGCAGAATAAATACTTTTATGTCGTTAAACATATCATGGTTAAAACAATTTTTTAAATAATCTAGTTGGCAAGTCTAGTTTTTGACAAATGTCATAAAAACCAAGCAATTAGTACCTTAGACAAGGATAGAGAGAGGACGGGTAACGCTCGCTCAACCAACCTTCAAAAAGTGATGCCACTTTTTTATGTGTCCGCCATTTTTTTGGTGGCAAACACAAGACCTGACACCAGTTTTGTTTTTGTGGTTTTTTAAAAAAGTGAATTAAATACCTATTTTTTTACTTAACAAAATGATGAATTGTGCATATATTCTTTGTAAAAATCGCAGCGAGCAGAAAACACCAGGAATATCGTTTCATAGGTAAATATTTATAATAGTGCAATTAGGTATTAATTGATTTTACTTTTTATTTCAATTTTAAACCTCAAAACCAATTTAAATTAGTATTTTAATCTAAATTACTAAGGTGAAATCTAAATTACTAAATGAAAATGCTAAATATGCATAGTTATTTCAGTAATTGTATTATAATTAATAATTTCACTCATACACCATGATGATTTGCCAGTGGCGATGTGCGTTGAGGGTTAAAATTCCATAAAATTCTATAAATAAGTAAATGAATAAATAAATTTCGTTAATTTTGATTCCAAAATATTTGTATAAAATAAAATAAATTAAATAAAACATTTAATGTACAAAAATGTTTCATTTTAAATACGAATTATTCGATACGGTTACGCGTCCTCTCTCTTTCCTTGACTAAGATTAGCACTATTGATTATAAAGAATATTGACAAGAACTTGACATATGGTTACCTTTAGTGGTAACCTGTAAATTTTTAGTATTGATATTCAAAAGTCAAAACAATCAAAATAGCACCACCTTGTAGATTAGTAGACAAATGTGAAGCAATTTTAATATTTAGTGAAGCAGACCATAACTACCATGAAGTTGTGAGAATATTTATGAACGTTTTCTGAATCGTCCAATTAATCGACATTACTATAGACTACTTGAAACCAAGTTTTGTGAAACTGGTTCTGTCGAAAACAAGAAAAAGAAACGGGATGGTAGAAAAAAGACTTCTGAGGAAAAGCAAGTAGATATTTTGTCTTAATTTGTAGTAAATCCATTCAGTTCAACTAGAAAGGTTGCTCGCGAATGCGAAGTACGTCACAGGACCGTCTTAAACATTTTAAAAACCCAAAAATGTTATCCCTATAAGATGAAAATGTTGCACGAATTGACAGAGGATGATCCAGATCGATAACTGCAATATTGTGAAACTATGGATAATAATATATCACAAGATCCAAATTATTTAAGAAATATTTGATTTTACGATGAAGCTACATTTTATTTAAATGGTCATGTACATCGACAAAACGTAAGATATTGGTCTGACGAAAACCCTCAATTGTTTCAAGGGTGTCATACTCAATTTCCCACTAAATTAAATGTTTGGGCAGGCATACTAGGGATCACATTATAGGCCCTTTTTGATCGAAGGCAATTTAACGGGGGAAAGCTATCTTAATCTATTGGAAACATAAATAATTCCTGCAATTAATGATGTGCTTAGAAACAATCCAGACGAATTCACCCAAGATCTTGTTTTCCAGCAAGATGGAGCTCCGCCTCATTACGATGCTCGCGTTCGAAATTTTTTAAATAATTTGTATCGGAGAAAATGGATTGGACGTCGTGGATTCATTGAATGGCCACCAAGATCACCAGATGTTACTCCTCTAGATTTTTAACTATGGGGTTACCTTAAATCCAAACTGTATGGGAGCCAGTTGACGACACTTGATGAACTCCGTCAAAGAATAATCGAAGAATGTAATAGCATTGATATGCAGACCCTACAAAGGGTTAGGGAGTTACTTCTGCCAGGAAGTAAATTGAGAACATTTCGAGCATCTCCTGCAGTAATTTAAGTTTTATTTAGGATAATTTGCCAGTTTCTTTAATTTTAAAGATATATATTTAATACAAAATTTTTTGTATATTTTATTTTTAATAAAACCATTATGCCATACAAAATTTCAAACTTATATATTTTTGAATTCTTCTTTTCAAACCCTTTGCAACGAATTATCGAACGACCCCCATTGCTATTTAAAAAGTCTGAGGGGTAGCTGTCAAGTGAAGGGGATGACAATTTTTTCATGTTATAAAATACCTCTATTAAAATAAAAATTGACGGGTCCGAGGGTTTTTCATCTTTGTCTTAAATAACGGAGTTCACTAGGGGGGAAGACATAATAACCATACTGTATAAAAACAAATCGTTCTAATTCCTAGTCCATTTCTAAATTAAATTGATGAATACCTATAAAATATTAAAATATCCTCTACATTCACCCCTCAATTACTTTTATTCCGTTTATGCATGAAATCAACAGGTGGACGTCGACATTGAAGCAAAAAATCGAACTGCGACCTTGAGAAGGGTAGACCAGACACGAAAGAAGCAATTTAGGTCACGCTCCATTTACGCAGCACAAGAATTTTGGGCTAAAATAACGCACCTATTTTAAATGATTCTCCTAGGTATAGATATTATCGTTTTAAAGTCAAATTATGTAATTAATTAGAACGTTTTTGAATTGAATGAGTGGTAAAGTTCACATTAGACACTTATCAATAATTATTATATAGTTGTTTTTGCCGAAAATAATTATATAAAACCAACTTCGCTTCTTATTGGTTTGTTGTATTAGTAGTCAGCAAATTAGCGTTTATCTAATACGATTTTAATATATTTTACACAAACAAGGTCAATTTAACGAAAATACCAAGGTATAATCGTCGAAAAAAAACGACCAAAACTTTTGGTTTTCGTTTTTTTTTCTGAAAAGAATTCAGTTTTGTATAAAATAGGACCGGTTTTTTATTATTCTTTAAATAATTTCTTAGATAATTTCACGGAACACTGCTCATTTAAAATATATAAAATAACTGCTGTATTTGCGAGACAATTAGAATAAAAATCAAAATAACTTGAATGATTACCTAATTGAAAATTGGTGTATCATTAATCATTTCATTCGGTTGAATTGTTGTTCATTACTACATACTAAAAGTACTAAATCATTAATAAAAGAACATCAGTTAAAGGTTTTATTCTTAATGGAAGTCAATTAAATCTATAAACGAAAATTGACATAAAAAGTGAAACTGAAACAAGAACAAGGTCATTCACCTGCCTAATAAGTGAGTTTTGTAAAATGAAAACAAGGTTTACCTTGAATGAAGTACTTACTTTAAAGATCGATAACAATTATTGTAGCACACTCAAGTCAATTGACACTTCCACCACACACTACACAAACCGTCTGACTAGGTTATTCCTCGCTTACTGGTGGCGGTCGGTTCAAAAATGTTTTAGTTTTAAAACACGCCGACGTCTTCCGAACAACATGGGTACATGCATGCAAAGCAAGATTATGTAAGGTAGTTTTCGTGTGTTTCTTGTTTTTGTTTATTCTAATCTTTAATAAATGCGGATGATGATTGGAGATTGGAGAGATGTCACAATAATCGTGCAGTTGTAGTCAGGCAGATGTTACACGGGGAAAAAATCTTATCAATTTGCCCCCTATTGCACAAATAATTTTATGTTATTTTTGAGAGAATTGTCTGCTCAAATTGATACGCTGTGGTAGTTTCTTTATTTACTTAATTTTTCTAATTTAGTCCGAACAATAGTAAAACAATAGTAAAGCGTAGGAACTTTTATAAAAATTTCAAAAACGTTTAAATGTTACTTTATATTTTATATAAAAAAACTTTTTATATATATTTAGGGCAGACTAGAGGAAGTGTAGTTTTGTTAATACGAATTGAAATAAACAAAACTGATACTTTTTTAAATACCAGGAGTCCATTATTCGTCTTCTTCTTCTTCCTCGCTATAGGGGAAACCGGGGGAATTCTGCGCACCTAAGGTAAAATACTTACAAAAAGTTTCCTATGTGCAAACAAACTTCCATAATTTAACTACTGAAACGTTATTCCCATAAAAAATAGGATTAAAGTTTAACGGATTTTGAAGAAAAAAAATTTACTTTAAAAAACTGTCATTGCGCGGTATTCCCTTAAGTACGGGGTAATTCTGCGCAGAATTAAATAAATTTTTATTCGAAAAAAAATTTATTGTAATAAAGCAAACATTGTAAAAAAAACAGATTTCTTCTAGAAAAAATTTAAAAAAAACATTAAGGAGATAATTTTACTTTCTGAAAGTCTTTCGTTCGACCTTGGTACACTTATCGCATGTATAATAAAATTAACTGCTGAGTTCCAACCACTACATTCTGAATGGACCCAATTCGAATACATTACATAACGCTACCAAATTTCTTTGTCTCGTCCGAATTCACCGCACACCAAACACTCCTCATTTTCTAATGTTAGATCTACATCATCTAATTCTAATTCATCATCATCACAAAGCTTACTCTTATTATAACTTTCAGACTCAGAATCATCAAAATGTAAGTTTCTAACTCCAGCTGTCTTGCGTACCGATCGTTTCTTTGCTTTAGTAGCCAGTTTTCCTACGGTTCCTGTCGTTTTTTTCTTGGTTTTATTTTTTTGGCCTCTTCAGCTTTTTTCTTAATATTTCTCTTTTCTTGTTTTATTTCTAATTGCGTTTTTAGTTTCGTGGAAGTGAAAATTTCGCACGTGATTTGGAACTTTTCTTTATAAATTTGGAAGGAAGAGGAGCTAGCTTTTCAATGGGTATACTAGACTGAGTTTTAATATTTCCTGACGTTCCAGGCTGGGGTGCAGCTTGCTGGTTTGATTTCAATTTGGCATTATAAGATGGAGTCTTGTGCATACTTTCATTACATCTCGATGGTCCTGGTTTGGGTTCGGTATTTCTCGGTGGAGTTCTTTGCAGAGTTTCGTCACATCTCGACTGATCAAGAGTCCTGTCATCATTGGTAACGTCGGTTTCTAAGTCCACTACAACGTGCATATCTGAAACTTTAGTGTGATGTACTAAGCTGAAATCATCTTCAGATAATTTATTAGGATCTATTGGCCATATTTCAGTAGCACGGAACTCGGATATTCCTTTGTCCATCGTGGCAACTCTCAGGTATGCTCTGTTAAAAATGGAAGCAAGTTCAAAATGTGTGATCTTTTCATGAGTATGAGTTCTCAGATACAAGTCGAACTCACGATTGAAAGCATTCTTTAGGGGCCCAAAAAAAGTTAGGTCAAGAGATTGAAGCCTGTGTAAGATATGAGGGGGACGTGAAACCATAAAAATTCCGTGTGATCTACAGTAAGTATAAATCTCCAAAGAAATGTGACTCCCATGGTTATCCAATATGAGAAGTACTGGATCTTCTTTCGAGGCCTTTATATGCTGACAAAAATGTTTTATTCAGTCGAAAAATACTCTTCATTTATCCAACCATTTTTTGAACATCTGTAGATTACTCCAATTGGGTCTCCTCTCATTAATTGTGGATTCATAGGTATTCGAGGGAATATGAAAATGGGAGGGACAAACTGTCCTGAAACATTTAGAGTGCATACTATGATAACATATTTTTCCCTCTTTCCCAAGATATTACGGATCCTACTTGCTTTTGACCTTTTAGTGCCAAAATTTTTGATGGTTTCTGGGCCGTAGAAATGCTCATCTACATTAAAAATTCGACTCTCAGGAAATTTTAACTTTTCCATAATTGTTAGCAGATTGTAAAAAAATCGTTCAACCTCATCTTTATTGAATGCAGAAATGCGGTTTTGACTGGTACCTTCGACTTTTCTAACACTAATGTTTGGATGACGCTTTAAAAAGAGTTCTAACCAATCTTCACCAGCGATCTTCTTTATCAAGTCGAAACGGTGTTTTATTTTATTCTCTTCAGCAAACTGGTATCCTAAACGCCCTAGTTCTGATGGTGTGACTTCAAAAAACATATTCGCCAATTTTTTAACATGGTTGGCTATGCTGGATTCCTCTTCATCATCAAAAATTGGTTTCCTGCCAAGTTTTATTTTTTTATGGCTATTGGACTTTAGTTTATCACGTAGAGTGGATTTTGGAATATTGAATGATCGACCTACTTCTCGTATTTTTCGCCCAGATCGTATAGCAGTGATCGCAGCTTTTAGTTCATCTTCTGTCCATATTGATCTTTCAGTTTTACAAACGTAAGCACGCGGCATTTTGGAACCTAATCCTTTTAGTTCATCTTCTGTCCATATTGATCTTTCAGTTTTACGAACGTAAGCACGGGACATTTTGGAACCTAAAATGCAATAAAAACACTATCTCACCAAAAATTCTTACACGGGGTAATACCGCGCAGTACGAAATTACCCCGACACAGCTGCGCGGTATTCTGTCCAAGTGAGTAACCTAACTTAACTTATCACTGTTCGTTAATGACTAAATAAAATGCATTATTTTTGTACGTGAAATTATCTATACATAGAAAGCAAAATAATGACTGAATAGTTTTAATGAAAATTAATAAAAAAAACACTTACCGCTTTTTAAAGATTAGTCGAAAATTACATCAAAATCTTGAAAAACAACCAATCTGTGACTGTGTCTAAACCAATACTACGAATGCAGTCATTACAAGCAATTCTGTTGTTCATTATCAGATTGATAATACTTCTCTAGCTCTCTAGAATGTTGTCACTGCGTCTTTTGAGCGTTCCGTCTATACTTCTACGCTTTGATGATTTATCTCATGCTATTTTGACCACTCTTATTTTCTCAGAGGTCACTCTAAGATTAGCTGACTTTGGCTTGAGTTTGTGTGTTGTTCGGCTGGTTTATGTCTGTGTGCCTGTTTTAGTTGGCTTTTGTCACCTCTTCAGGACACGTGATTTGTTTTGTTTTGGGTGGCGGTACCACTGGACCGTGTTGTTGGGCACTGGTTGGTGCTGTTTCAGTGCTAGAGTTTCCGATATCCTACGGAGGAGGTGGTCGTCTTCAGCTATTGATCAGGGGTGAAAGGGTTTGGTGCTAAAACGGTTCTTTTCAGAAATTTATTTCTTTTTAAATAAGACAGGGTGGGGTAATTTGATCATGATTTTACAACAAATCTACGGTCATCTCAGATTTTTAGTTACCATTGATCAAAGTATAAGTAAATTTTAAACTATTTGTATAAAAACATGACCTTTAATTATTACTATTTAAACGTATGGAACCTTAATTTGATTGAAAGTATTACAGTAATAATAAAATAAATAATAAAATTGTACCTACGGTGCGTCCAGTTACCTCAATTAACAAGGATAACTAAAATCTCATAAGAGTTGGTAGAAATCATTGTGAGCTATCTGGGCCTGATTGCATATCTGTACCTACTCTTTTCAAAGAAACCTCAAACAATAATTTAAATTGAGCGGATTTGAAACCAGACTCAATGTAAGGGTATCGTCTCATATAGCAGATAAGGTTTATGAACAAATTATACACAGTTTGCAGCTAACAACTTGAATTTAATGTCATTAGATTAAAAAGTTTATAAACTTACATTTAAAGAGTTTATTAAAACTGCAAAAATCAATACTAATATCTTAATATTCCTAAACAAAATTCGTCATGAAACAGAAACTTCAAATTGAAAAATAAGATTAGTAAAGAAGTATTTATAATCTCATATAATGTCCCACAAATGCTGCAATTCTTTCACATGATCCTCTTTTAGAAACAATTTTTGGTTCTTCAACTGCACCGATAACGTCATCCCAATCTTATTTTTCAATATTTGCTTTATCTGGCCACTTCTAAGACTTCAAAGATTTCTGCTACGATGAAATTTCAACCTAGTCATCTGTAAAGCTTAAGATTTTTCCTGGAAAATACTGTTCTTCACACTTAAAGATTACATATTCACCAACTTTTTGGACAAGTTGGTTAAGGCCTAGTTGCTGAAAATTTCCCCAGGTCTGCTCATCAATATTATTACAGAAAATTTCAAATTTCTTTTCGCTATCTAAATATCTTTCATTATCTTCTACAATACCTTGTTAATCAACACCATCACTACTTGCTGATATACAATCAAAACTGTTCTTTTTCTTGTGTTTAAAAAGCTTAGTCTAGGCCTACTACTATTTCTTTTATTTTTTCTTTCTCCCCTTGTTCTTTTTTTATTAGGTAATCTTTAAAGGTGATAATTTCACAGTTAGTGATAAGTCTTTTTGATTTCTTCCCTGAATTCTATGGTGTTTTATCTTTTTTCATCATTTCTAACAACAATTCCTCAAATGATTTAAGTGTTTGTAAACAAGATCCAATTGGCAAGACATTCTTTTTCTACTTGAACTTCGTTTGTAGAACTATAGCTTCCGTTATTTCAACCATTGAAAAGGTAGAAACAGAGGTTTCTGGCTATTCTGTTAGGATTAAAGCGTTCGATACATCTGATTGTACCGTATCTGAAGAAGTATGGGATGCTTGTTGCCCTAAATTTGAATATTCATATTCTTTTTGACTTCGAGTGGCTATAACAGGACTCGCATCTGGTTGTAATGCTGCTGAAGATGTAGGCCTACGATCTTCTGATCATACTGTGGCTGAGGAAGGAATAGTTACTGAGTGTTGGACATTCAAAGAAGCAGTGGCTTCCAAGTGTACTGTAGTGGGATTGGGAAGATTATTTTTATACCTAAGCAAATCATCTTTTTTGAATATTCATGTGGGAATTGCATCTCTGTTAGGACCTTGTTTATCGGCATCATAAATTTCTGTGGCTTTAAATCCGTTAATAATATTAATACTAGGTATTTCATGTGCTAGCTTGGATATAATTTGTTCAAATATTTCTTTAAGAATTTTTTTGCGAGGATTTTCCCTCTGCCACTAATCTAATGGTTGTTATAAATGTGTCGTGTGTGGTGGTAACTTCATAATAATAATTTTATTTTTTTGTGCTAACTTAATTAAATCTGTGGACGTATGGGTAGCATAACCATCATCAAATAATAAAACTACTCTCTCTTTTGTAATATTAGGTAAAAAAATATCTCTAAACCAATTAAAAAACAAATTAGTTTCCATCCAACCTCGAGACGCTGTAGAAACTGCAGTATGAGATGTTTTTTTCTTATTAATCCAATTATCCACTACGTATTTACCTTTAAATACATAGAGGAGGGGTATCATTTGACCATCAGCAGAACAACACAACATAATAGATGTGTTTTCTAAGTCAGACGAACTGGTCTTTCGTATGCTTTTTGTATCAATTACACCAACGACCTTTGTTTAACTAGGGTCATAGCAAAATTACATCTCGTCGCAATTAGATATCCGTTCTGGTTTCCCCTTAAGGTTTAGTTCTTCCATAATCTTTGTTAATACTTCAAAAAAATTATAGATGACCCAAGAGTTCACCTGATCGCATCTAAAATGTTCAATACTCCTAGGTTTCTTTATTGACAGATGATGCCCAGTTTTAAATGATCTAAATCAGTCAGGGCTTGGTCTCTGATCTTTAAATCTACTGTTGATATTATTATGTCTTATATATAATTGTACTTAGTCTAATACTTCCTGTTTGGATGGGCCAAACCCATTTTTGTCCATAATTTTTATGCAATCTGCAATTTCTTTTTCCTCAAGAGACGACAAATAATATCTGAACTCCTCCATCACCGTTACCTGCTTTTGAAGTCAGTCCAGTCCTTAGACAAGGAAAGAGAGAGGACGCGTAACCGTATCGCTAAAAGTGAAGCCAAACTGCCACCAGAGGAAGTGGTCAGAGGCGTATCTTTGTATTTTTAAGGATTGACTAATTCGTATTTAAAATGAAACATTTTTGTACTGTTTTATTTAATTTATTTTATTTTATACAAATATTTTGGAATCAAAATTAACGAAATTTTACTTAACGAAATAAGTAATTATTTACTTATTTATGGAATTTTAACCCTCAACGCACATCGCCACTGGCAAATCATCATGGTGTGTGAGTGAAATTATTTATAAAAATTTAAATTGGTTTTGACGTTTAAAATTGAAATAAAAAGTAAAATCAATTAATACCTAATTGCACTATTATAAATATTTACCTATGAAACGATATTCCTGGTGTTTTCTATTCTCTGCGATTTTTACAAAGAATATATGCACAATTCACCATTTTGTTAAGTAAAAAAATAGATATTTAATTCACTTTTTTAAAAAAACCACAAAAACAAAACTGATGTCGGGTCTATTGTGTGCTACAAAAAAAATGGCGGTCACATCAAAAAGTGGCATCACTTTTTGAAGGTTGGTTGAAAGAGCGTTACCCATCCTCTCTCTTACCTTGTCTAAGGTCCAGTCCCACGCGGCCCTTTGACTTGATGCTTCAGTCAGTATAGATTGGAATATAAGAGCAAAAGCTCTCGAGGTAACTGGACCAACCATTCTAACCTCAAAACTAATAAAATATACATGAAAAACTAATTTAAAAATTGTTAATAGAATATTAATAATGAGCCATCTAAAAGAGATTTAAGATTTAAGAGAGCCATCTAAAAAACACATTACCAAATGCCGGAGATGCTTTAGTTTTTTTATAAATAAATAATTTATTTATACTCCAGTCATCAAAGACAAAAATGCCACCGAACCTCTAAAAATTATACACCCTGAATTTTTCTGAAAGTGTTAATTTTGGGATCCCAAAAAATATGCAAAAAGTTTTCTACTCCTACCAAATCCTATAATTTTGAATATTTGGTTCATTATTTAATGTAAAAGTACATTCATCGCTCAACAAAATGTTTTTTTCTAATTATCTGTCTGCATTAGCCTTCTCTTAAATTCTATAACAAAATTCTGGAGTCTGTCAGCATCTCCTTCTTTTAGTTCTTAATACATAAATTTATACGAGTCGAATTAATTTCTTACAAAATTTAGAAAGCAAAAGTATTTTATGGTTCTGCTGTTAATATATTCATTTCGTTGTGATTTTCTAAATTTCTTGGTACCTCAGCAATATTATTTGTACAGGTACAATTATTATTAGAAATCACGGTCTCAGTATTTTCAAACTTTTTAAAATCCTTTGAATTGTTGAATGATTTGGAATTGGTTTATTGGGATATCTTACGTTAAATAAAGAACTGAGAGGCCTTGAAAACATCTTTATTATTGGTCCTTTCTCCTCAACTGAGTACATTTAATCAACTTTATTATCTTTTAAACAATAAATCACAAAATAAAAATATTATTATCTAACATATTGTAACCAAACGTAACCCGTTATACATATAAGTGCACTACGTGTGGCCTAACTTTGATAATATTCTGGCAAAATGTATTTTTATTTGCAAAATTTTGAATGTGTTTAATTCGTAGAACAATTTTAATATTTGTTTTCTATATAGCTTTTAGTCCTCTACAAATAGTTTATTGTATCTTTTGACGTAAAATAATTGGGGAGGCATGAATTCAACATTTAAAATTTTTTCTTCAAATAAAGCTTCTTCCATCGTGAATATTTGGTTTCAATCATGATTCGAATCCGTCATCAGTTATTCTGAATCTGTTTAGCGGCCTATCTGAATCGTTTAGCTGCAGTAATCCCTAGACAGACATACATATGGATGGTAGTAATTCAAAAAAATTTAATCTTTTGGATATAATATAGAAACAATAAAAACAAAAATAGTTTTTAATATATTTTATTTTATTTTAAAAGAAAATAGATAAACAAATATTTTATATAATGTATAAGTTTTAGAAATAAAATAAACCTATCATGCAGGTAATAATAACTTCCTCTTTGGATATACAGTCTTTCAAAGAACGAGCAAAATTTTATTTGTAAACATGACAACTAATTAATTTGCGATTCATTAGCATGTCGTAGTAAATTTTCGACAGCCCATCGCCAGAGCAACGTGGAAACTCAGTTACGAACGTGGTTTGAGTTTACTGTTACTAATTTCAGTACATCTAACAGATTTTAGCAAACCCGGTGATAGAAATCATATGTGCATCAAGTGTATAAGTGTTTAGTGAAAGCACAACTTGAAAGAAGCGCTTATCACTAGCCACGTTACAATATGTACGCGTTTTTAACTATGTTAATAATTGATATATTTCTTTGTAGCAGCAATTAAAAAATTCTATTGGAATTAAAATAAAAAGTACACGGGATCATTGTACTTTCATAATTTTCATACAAAATTATACAAATACAGTAGGTAATTGACACTTTCGGCTACAAATGGTACTATTTAAAGTTTTTCCTATCTTGGATATTTTATTTATCAGATCTGCTCGTCTTACATTAATTAGTTGATGTATCGAAAATTGTATTGCATTCAATGGAAAAAGTACTTTAAAACTCGTCCAAATCAAGCTCTTAAATAGTGTGTTCTTAAATGATTCCATAGAAATCAAGTACTAAAACTCCTTAAAATTTATCCAAATTTTCTTGATCATATTTTGTCAACTGCATCTGATACTCCTTCTATTGGTGAATCCTGCTCTGTAACTTCTCCTATTGTGTTGTTACAATCAGGATCTGGAATTTCTTCTATTGTGTTGTTACAATCGGGATCTGTAACTTCTTCAGTTGTAGTGTTGACTTCTTGACCTATGGACAATAGAGAAAGAACGGAAGCCGGGGATTCACAAGGACCTTCTTGTGTTGCCGTCTCACCATCTTGATCCGCGGATTCTTGACTACTTTCTGTTTCTGTAACTTCTATTGAATCGTTCCCATTTTGTTGTTCAGGGTGATGGTAATTGTGGGCACCTAAATACCTAAAAAAGTCGAACAATAAAGTCTTGTCTACTACTAAAATATACATCAAAATGAAAAAAAAACAGCTTTTCATATTTATTAAGGGGATATGTTCACGCCACAGTTAAAATGAGTGGAATTCAAATAAACTAACGTTTAATAATTCTTTGAGTAGATGGCAGCACCTACATCATATTCTAATATTTTAATTTTCTCGAAATTTAATTCTCTGAACAGTGACATTGTTGCCAGCGATGCCAAGTACTGGAACTTACGATCTATACAGTTCTCTCTGAATCAGCAGTATTGTTCAATGTAAGGTGATATTAGCTATTAGTTGAAGTTTCACAAATTCTAATTTTCGGATTGGATCATTCGATATAATCTTTGTATCGTGTTGTTGTTGAGGTTAAGTTGCTGATTTGATTTTGAGTGTTGTTTTTTTTAGTTTTATAAACATTTTAAATAGGTTATACCGTCTTGTTTCCTAATATTGATTAACTGAATATTTTTTAACAATTCTAAGTATTGAAAATAGATGTAAACAATAAGAAGTGAATTTATCTTAATATACACATTTTTAATTAATTTCAAAATTTCAAACGTCTACTGATTTTTCAAATTAAAATTTAATAAAATTAATCATATTTTTCTTCTTTTTTTATGTAGAAAATTATTAGAATAGGACAAGCTAATGTGATATAAACAAAAATATTACTAATCTCTCCAATTAATAACAAATACCTTCTTATAATAATTTGATGTCTATGGTACTTCAACAAAAGAGGCTTTTTAATAATGTACTTAAGGATAGATTCTCACGAATAGATACAATACAACAGCATTCAGACGACAATTCTTAATTCTTTACCTGCTCAAAAATATTTATTTCAAACTGATAAAAATTTAAAATTGTTTGAAATACAAGTAAATAATGATCCAAAAGGGGATTATGCTAATTCTCAAGTGAATGAAGATTCAGTTACTATTTATTTACAAGAACAGTATTTCTAAGAAATCTAAAATATTTAAGTCAGTTAAAAAACAGCGTCACCACAATAACAATTTTTTTCATATCGAATGTAAACAGGAAAAATTTTTTCCTCAAAAAATTTCACATTTTCATCTCATTTCTAATAATTATTACTTTTTCACATCGAATGTTAACAGTTCTTTACAAAATTTCACATTTTCATCTCATTTCTAATAATTATTACTCAAGTAAAGTTTAATATTTTTTTTCACTTAGGGAAATATTTAAATGTACTGACAAAAATTAATCGATGATTACATCATATTGTTTTGTCTATAAAAACTAAATTTGCAGGAAACTGAATAAAACTGGAATTGCTTTTAGATAAACCCTACATAACACGCTAGAGCTTGTATAATTGTATTGTTAAGATACTGTGACGTTGTACAGTCATGATTGAAGGTCAAACGAGGCCAAAATGTTTACTGGGATGGGCCGCTTTGGTAAACAAAACCACGTGATTCGTATTTCCCTGGTTCCTGTATAATCACAAAACTTGTTTTCAATGTTTTGCAGATTTTTCTTAAATTCGGCAAACGCGCGTTTGTCGCTATTTAATACATCACTGCTGCCTTCTATTAAATGACACGTGAACTTATTTTTCCATCTATTAATTGACAGCCGAACTAATTTCTCACTAACAAAATTACAACTTATTACTGTAACATCAATAAAATTTCTAACATTTTTTTTATAATTAGATTAGTAACTAATTATTATATATTACTAAGATTATTTTAACAACCTTTTGCAATTACCGCAGCTACGCTAATGGCCGTATCCAAAAATCTTCCTTTTGCACCTCACCGAAACGAATGATCCCGATATAGTACTTTATGAAAAGGTAACGGTACTTTAGATTTTGTATCTTCATTGATCTAATTCTTTGATATCTTTCAGCTTTTTGTTTCTTAAAAGAAGTACCGAAACATGCAGATTACTTGATGACTGCTTTGTTAGAAATTTGAGAGCAATCGTCATTTTTTGAGAACAAAGAACATTTAGGACCTTTTTTTATAGCGGTAGGAAGAGTAATAAGATTTGTTAAACTTCTTACAAATAGCTTTAATTCAAAGAGAACCTTTTCCTCAATATGGTACAGTTATTTGCCTTCTTGCTTCCCTTTTTAAAAAATATCGTTATATTTATATGTTTGTGCCGAAAATGAAAATAATTCGGTTCTTGTTAAGAGGGAATTCTTTAAGTGGCGATGATCCTGTTCTAGGGGATAGTTTGTCCAATTTGAGAAAAAGAGGATCACTTTTCGTTGGGTAGTCTAAGAGATTAGACTGACTTTTGGACGTATTTTTTTCTCTGGAAATTTATCTATAAGTGTATATATACACTTCTATTGTATCCCAAGTAGTTTGATCCAACACCCGAGTAGATCAAATATACATTATAAATTCACTTCAGTGTTTGATACTAAAGTTGAGTACAGTTTAAATTCAGTGCGATTTAAGAGGTAACATCATCTAGAGTTACTGTAAGTGGTCTTACTATTAACACGTTCCCTGTCATCCTGGCCCGACGGAACCATGGCTGATGTTGCTTCAATAGGCCACGTTGGTCCAATGGGATCAACGCAAGTTTTGCATTAACAGGCCATGTTGGCCCTATGGGACCAACATTTATTCCGATATGTTCCGAGCCGTTGGTGTTTATTTAGTATTAAATAACCATGGGAATCGACCAGAGGCCTACAAGGCTGTATACAAATTTGTGCGATTTATGGAATATGACAAATGTGGTCCTATATATGTCAAAAACGTTATTTACAACTTTGGGATAATATTTATTGATCCAAACATATTTTTCAACAACAGAAAAATCAAATAATATAAAACAACCAATAAAAAAAGTTATTTAAGTTATATGTAATTCATTAAAACAACCTATACACAGAAAAGTGTCCTATGTTCTTGTCACAGCTTTTGCAAAAGGTGTCTACCTTTTTAGTTTTGTTCATAGCATACTGACGGCCATGTTGCTCACTTTTTTTGTAGCAGTTCTTGCAAATCTTCCTTCGTTGATGTTTACTTCCGTCTGCCTTCTGTTCAAGCTGATGGTGATTATTTGACTCTCTTCGTGGTATTGTGGCGGTTTCTTTATAATTAACTAGATGTTTCACTATTTGTTTTTTAAAATCTTTCACTAACATGTTAATAATAATTGATGTAGTTAATAATAATTCAAACCCCACTTTTTTAAACCATTTTACGCTTTTCTTAAGGGGGTTCGAATACGCTCCCATTTGTTTGAATAAGCATGTAAATATTTTTTTGTCTTTCCAGTTCGTCACTCCATCATCATTTTCCATAGAAATTTTTTCCATTTATTTAATTTTGCAGCTGCTACTTCTTGGGGTAAATATTTTCGATTTTTTCGAACAGTTCCTACCAGGTGTATATTTTTTTGCTAGCGGTAAACTTGTATACCAATTGTCGGTTATCAGCGTTCTTCCTTGGCGTACTAAATCCTCCATAAGATACAGTATAAACGCTCTTTGCAGTGACATTAGAACTATTTTCTCTCCCTGCATATACTTTGAATTTGTAAGTATATGCCGATCCAAAACATACTTTAAAAATTTTTACACCTTATTTGTGTCTTTTTGACTTAATGTACTGTTTAAACCCCAAGCGTCCCCTAAAGGGTAATAGGGTTTCATCGATGCAGACATATTCTTCTTGCACGTATAAAGACTTAAAATTTGCAGTTAGAATGTCGACAAGTGGCTTTCACTTATACAGTTTATCACTTGTATCTGCCAATAAATTATCATTAAAGTGAAACATCCTTAAACAGAATCTCGAATCGATTTCTAGACATTAAATTCTTTGCAAAATTAATGGAACAGGTTATCGTTACTCCAATAGTCTGCGATTTTCGGCATTTTCACTAAACCCATCCAGGCAACCAGTCCTAAAAATTTTCTAATTTCAATTTTTGTCGTTGGAATCCAGACATGTAAGCGAGAGCTTGGTGTTGCGTCTGCAGCCAATACAGACTGAGTTGCATATATATTTGTTTGGTTACAAATCTGACTAATTACTCTCTGTAGTCATCGACCACAGTGTCAAAAAAGTCTCCAGGCGTACCATTTGCCAACATTGCAGCTACTTCATCATTTACTCCTGACGAAATAGAAAAAGGTGCCATTAGCTTATAATTACCCACTACTGGACCCCAATTTGGTTCTATATTAAGTCGTGGAACGATATTACCGTGAAAATTACGATTAGATTGTTCTGGATCATGCATTGAATTCAAGTTCGATCCTGAATCGATATTATCGTGAACATGACGAGTAGGTTGTGAATCTAATTTTTTTTCTGTAAAAACTTTCGTACATTTTCCACCGTTTCTTCTGAATCTGATTCTTCTTCTGAACTACACATGTACTCACTATCAGAGGCTTCGAATGGTTCATAATCGTCACCGGAAAGTTCTCCAAAATTTATTGCAATGTTTTGCAATTCACGCTTTGTCAAGAGGTTTAGAACGTTGAGACATCTAAAATTACACAATATGTTGTAAAAATATTAAATTTTAAACAGTATTTAATACTTACAGCAATTTATTCTGTCAATTTATTGAAATGAAAAACAATCAATAAGAACAATATACAATGCGCATTCGTTTAGTTATGTTTACTGCGATAGACCAACGGCGCACATAAGCATTAGTACGGTTCACTGGGCCGCGTTGTCCCGATGGGACCAACACATTTCTTATATGGTGACTGATAAGCGCACTTTAAAAAAGGAATGGTTGGCTCACGGAGGCACTGATTTAGAAAATATAGTCGGCAGCGAACGTGTTAATATTAGCTCTAATTATCTCCAAAGTAGAGTAATCTACGGGCTATTTTCGACAAAATTTTCCTGATCGGTGGATAAATCTAACTACCGATGCACTCAATTCCTCTAAGGAACAACGATTTCATCAATTGCAATTTCGCAACTTTCATATCTTTTCATTACCAAATATTAATTACAAACATTCATTATTTAAATAAAAGCTGTGCGACTAGCTTCTTGTGAACCAAGTGTGGGTTGGTCATTATTTTAATTTTTGGTAGAACCGATTTTTCTAATCTTGTCTCCGTACTTCTGCATTCTTCTTTTTCGATCCATTTCCGATTCCAAAAGGTAGTTTCGAACCCCCGATTCGCTCTCAACCAACAATCTAGCTGCCGTTCGCAGTGTCTTCATTGGTGACCTTTCTAGCACCATCCAAAATAGGTTTCTGAGGTTACAATACTAATAAAATCCCTAGTTTGCAGATTATAATTGTAATTTTATCTTTTGGTACAGTCAATTTAAAAAATTACGGCAGTATGGATAATAAACGTTTCTTTAAAATAAAGTTTTTTGGATAGTTAATCATTTAACGTAGTTATTGTGTACCTAAGTTTAAAAATTATTAAACAATAAAAATTTTAGGCAGTTTACCAGGTAATTTATGACATGGATACATTTAAGTACAGTTATGAAAAATTTACTGCTTTCTTTGGAAATTTTAACTACATATCATTAAAACAAAAAGTTTACAGTTCATGTACATAATCATAAGTTGAAGAGTTGTTTTAAAATAGTGACGATAACTGTACCTAAAAAGTACATAAATTTCAAAATTGTGACAGACCACCTTAATTTGTCAAAATTTTCCATTTACGTTATTCAAAATACATACCAAACTTTATATGATGTATCTACCACAGGACGCTTTTCCGAATAGTTGGGTTTGTCGATCCGAGCTAATATTAGTTTTTCTATCTTCTTTTTTTTATGGGTGTCTCCTTTATGTGCAGTCTTTGAATGTTCATTTCTCGATAATGTGCTCAAAAAAGATTTATCGCAGTATTTACAATCTACTGAGTATTCGGAATGTTTGTCTAGGTGTTTCTGCAGAACATCGGCACCATACTGTTTCTCTCCACAGTAAAAACAGAAAAAGTATGTAGTGTAGTGTTTGTTTTCGTGATCTTTTAAAAGTGGTCTGGAAAGAAAAAAATGTGTTATAATATATGTATGTATGTATGTATGTATGTATGTATGTATATATATATATATATATATATATATATATATACAGTGGTACCTCGATATATGAGCCGTGGAGCGAGTGATATTTTGCTTTGAGACGAGAGCAAGATTTGAGATACGCGGAATCGGTTTTTATTCAAATTCATACCTCTTATTTGACTACTTCTAATTTGCTTTGTAAATAAAAGGTAGTTTTACTGGTAATAGATCTTTACGGCCTCGGCATAACGATCATTTTACGGGTTTGTACGTGACCATTACTTGGACCAACAAATTAAATGGTCATTGGAAGTTAAATTTGATAAAATTCGGATTCTAATACTAACCATATTGCACTCTCGATGTAGGTGTAATTTACACTGTGTACATTTTTACTGCAGACCTCAGTCTTTGTACATAACATTATATTTATTTTTACAACCATGGGTTCGAAGAAGCAGATGATGTCTATTAAACTTAAACGAGAAATCATTGAAAAACATGAGCAAGGTGTACGAGTAACTGACTTGGAGAGGATGTACGGGGGTACCACATCAATTATATGTACTGTACTTAAACGGAAGAAGGTGATAAATGGTAAATTGCCAGCTAAGGGCGTTACAATAATTTCTAAGCTCCGGACTTCTCTCCATGAAAAGATGGAGAAACTACTAATGGTGTGGGTGACAGAGAAGCAGCTTCAACGAGGAATCTTAACACAAAGCTTCATATGTGAGAAGGAACGAGCGATTTATAAAGATTTGCTGAAGCAGATCCCACACACTTCCACCAATGATGAATTGGAAGACTCGTTTAAAGCTAGTCAGGGCTGGTTTGACAACTTTAGAAAAAGGACCGGCATTGACTCCGTCGTCAGGCATGGTGAGGCAGCAAGTTCAGATGTGAAAACAGTTGAGGTTTACATCCAAACGTTTTACGAACTGATAGAAGCCAAAGGATACACCTCCCGCAAGAGGCAAATCCAAAGACGTGAGTCACCAGGAAATACTTTGTGGAGTGAATAAACCTGGCATTTGCTCCTTCTGTTAAAAAATATCTACAGCAAAACAAACTTCTCATGCAAATCTTTCTTGTCCTCGATAATGCCCCTTCTCACCCATCAAATCTCGAAGATGATTTACTCCAAGAGTTCAAGTTTATAAAGAGTCTCTATCTACCAGCCAAAACCCCTCCTATCTTGCAGCCCATGGATCAGCAAGTGATTTCTAATTTTAAGAAGTTGTATACCAAGCACCTTTTTCGGCGCTGCTTTGAGGTGACACAACACAAACCTTACCCTTCGAGAGTTCTGAAAGGACCACTTTAACATAGTAATAGGCCTAAGAATTATTGAGCAGGACTGGCTAGGTGTTACAACAAAGACCTTAACCTCTGCATGGAAGAAGCTGTGGCCTGAGGCTGGAGATGAAAGGGCCTACGAAGGACTGGAACCCGAAGCGTCAGTGGTAGATGAGATTGTTTCTCTTGGAAAAACCATGGGTCTGGAGGTGGATGCAAGAGATGTGAACGAACTTGTCGAGGAACAGTCTGAGAAGCTGACAACCTAGGAGTTAGACGAACTATATGTGCAGCAGCATACGGTGGTTCAACAAAAATTTGTTTTGAAGAGGAACCAGAATTGGAAGACGTTGTCTCCAATTGAGTGAATGAATGAATTTTTCTTATTTAAAAACACTTAACAAAAACAACTAACGTGTTCTTTTGGGGACTGGGGAATTGCTTTGACATACGAGCAAGATTACGGAAGGAATTACACTCGTATGTCGAGGTACCACTTGTAGATCGCAGACACTACAAGATCATCCTTGGTATATGCTATATTAATACTTACGCTGTTGTATATGCCAAGTTACATTCTGTACAAAAGAAGAGTCTACGCATTTGATGTTCATAAACGTTGTGTTGATCCATAAAGTCCATATCATTATAGCCTACATCGCAGGAGTCAATGGTACAGTGGTATCTGTAGTCGTTTAAACGGCCTTCTTCAAACAGTTCGCGCGCAAGGGATCTAGAAATATCAATTGACAATTGTATTTTGACATATATAAATAAAAAAAATGGTGTGCTATTTACCTATTTACAAAAATTAAACGGGAATATTAGGGAATACGAACCCCTTCCCATATCAGTTGGCCCAACGTTATATTGATAAGAAAATTAAATTTCAGAGAACAAAAATAAAAGCGCAGCGTAAATTTTAGAAGTTTTAATGCATCGAACAACTTGAATTTACTAATTATAGAAAATATTTTATAACGTAATAAAAACTGTTGATTAAACAGAATAATAATAAATTTAAAAAAAAACGCATATAATATATAATATGAACAAAAAAAAAATGTGAAAGTTTACCACTGAGTTACATCCGCTTTATTTTTAATGACATCCACAATTCTTCGAGGCATAATTTTTACCAAGTTCTGACAAAATTCTAATGTAAACGAATCACATATTTCTTGCAATTTTTCCTTTAATTCGGTGACAGACCTGACAGGATGTTTACTCTCAAAGCTTTTTTCATCTCGCGCCACAAAGTCTCTATCGGGGACAAGTCGGAACTGTTAGACACCCATTTCATATGTGGTATGCCATGGTTTTTCAATCCATTTTAAACTCTTTTTTGAGGTTTGACAACCTGCGCCGTCCTGTTGGAAGACAAAATCTTCCGCTGATGTTAAACGGTGTTCCATTATCGGTAAAAGAGATTCTTCTAAAATATTCAAATATTTGTCCGTGCCTAAAATCCCATCGGTAAAATGTAACTTTCCCACACCTTTAGACGACATGCTGCCCCATATCATGACAAGTGCAGGAAATTTCACTTTTCTCTTCAGACACTTGGGATGGAAACTTCTTTTTTCCTGCGAATGACGCGACTCCTACTGTCTCCAACACACACTTCAAATCTGGACACATCACTCCATTTTATTAAATCCCATTGCGACTGAGTCCAATCTTTATGCTCTTTTGACCATCTTAGTCTATTTTTCTTTTGTCGTAATGATAAAAATGGATTTCCTTAGCCTAAAATAAAATGAGATTCATTAAAAACAATTTGTACCAATTTTTTCAACTATAAAACTTACTTTGTAAGTAAAAAATCCTAATTTGTGGGCTTCTTGGTGACATGTTGGTCTAGAAACTTGTCTTCTAATAACTTCACTTCATAAAACGCGTAACTCCATATAATTTGCTCGCCAATTTTTCACTATAATGCGTCTTAATGCCCTTCGATCTGCTTCAGTTATTTTACTTTTTAGTACATTTCTAGGTTTTGTGACGACCGAACCCGTAGTTTTGTATCTTCTTACTATATTACACTATAGCGTGGCAATTGTAACATATTCGCGATTTCCGAATTGTATTTTCCAGAATTAAAAAATCTAATAATTATCAAATTTTCTCATCAATAACTTTACTTCGACTCATTGTACAATCCACAAGTGGCAAAAAGCTTTTCAATACTACAAAATACATTTGCCATTAACTGGCAATATTATTGTTTTGATGTCATTTTTCCACAGCTACCTCTGGATTTAACGTAATTATGAAAAAATCAACGTATGTTTACATAAGTGAATGCATAGCCAAAGTTTAGTGAAATTTTTTTATTGTTGAAAATAAATAAAAACCATCAGAGTAACGTTTTTAATAAATATTAATAAAAATGTCATATTAATTAATATGGGAACTTATAAAACCATGTAGAGTATAATTTGTTTATGGTAATTGACTTTAACTGCAAATTCCATAGCCAACTGATATGGGAAGGGGCTCATATGAACAATTTTATCAATTTTTTATTTACCTTGTAAACATACTTTGTGTACTTAACTTCGACGAAACAGAGCGGGTTGTTCTCCCGACACTTTTTGTGGTCACACCTGTCGAAGTACTGCTGACACTCTTTCTACTAATAGACCGTGATCTTGAACTACGGGAGCGGGCACTCGGACTCTTCACCGAAGAGCCTTTCCGATACGTCAATCTAAAGCCTTTTCTCCTTTTTTTCTTCTTTGGGTATTCTTCTATGCCATAATAACTATTTGACCTGCCTAAAAGCAATGTGAACAGTAATTAAATTATTTTTTCAACTAAGCGACATTCAGGTTGAATATTACAGTTTTAGGAGGATTTAGGAAGAACAATAATACCAGGTTATCAAAATACTTATATAATTTCAAAAAGTTTTTTTGAGGAAAGACTCTTGAACTATTCTTTTTCCTGTAACTGTAGATAACACAGTAGTAGATAATTAAAACAAGTAAAAACCGGTAATTGATTTTTCAGGCAGCTGGGGTTGGCTATTAAACCAACTTCACGAATATAAAATACAGTGAGGATCTAAAGGATTGCATAAATTCAATATTTATTGTATCTAAAAATATTTTGACAAAATTTTCGGATAGGTCTATAGTAGACTCCCATAAGTTCGGCCTCGGTTAGTCCGGTTTCCCCTTAGTCCAGCCGGCTCTCTGAGCATTAGTCACACACTTGGCAAGCGCCAGCCAGACGTGAGCAGGTAAATCGCTCATCTTTACGGTAGACCTACAGTCAGTGATTCTTGTTTCACTTGCACTGTATATATAGACAATATACTTGTGTGTGTGGACAATAACTGTTTCGCGTCGTTCAATAAACTGCTTTAAAATGAGTGAAACGCGTAAACGTAAGTACAAGTCAATGTATTCAAAGGAGAATCCGTACAAAGTATTTGCAGAGATTTAAACTTGGCCAAAAAAAACTTTTGTACACAGATTGAAACTGAAAAAGTTCTACAAAAGCGTTGCACACTGAGAAAAGCAAAACACGAATTGGTGGAAGATGCTCTGTGGTTGTGGTTTGTTCAAGAACGAAGATGAGGAACCACATTAAGTGGACCAATCCTAAAAGAGAAGGTTATGATCTTGCACCCAAAGCTTCTACCAGAAGAGGATAGATTCTCGGTTAGTGAGGGATCTCCCGATGGAAAAAGAGACACAGGTGTTCATTTTATTGGAGTTTGTGGTGAGAAGCTGTCGGCAGACCCAACAGCGGCCAAAAATTTTTCTGCAAAATTTTTAAAAATCATTGGTGGCTAAAACTTGAGTCCAGAGCAAATCTACAACATCGACGAAACTGGGTTAAATTTCAGATTTCTGCCCAGAAAAACCTTTGCCACCCCACAAGAAACATCTGTGGTAGGATTTAAAGTCAGCAAAGAGAGGATACCGGTGGCTTTGTGTTCAAATCCCTCTGGGGCCCACAAGATACCCCTATTTGTCATTGGAACAAGAGCAAACCGAGAGTGTTTAAGAACATAAACATGGACACTCTAAAAGTGTATTACTGGTCACAGAAATCAGCATGGGTGTACACATATTTGTTCAGGGAATGGTTTGTGTGCGAATTTGTTCTGAAAGTGAAAAACCATTTGATAAAATTAAATCTGCCCATCAAAGCACTTCTACTGCTTAACAAAGCGCCTAGTTACCAGGAAGGTCTTCAGTGTGACAATGAAAAAGAAAGTAAACTGCTGTTCCTACCACCCAATGTAACCAGTCTTTAACAGTCAATGGACCAAGTGGTCATTGAGTGTTTCAAGAGAAAATATCACTGAAAACTGCTTTCTGAAGTTCTTTCCAAACTTGAGGCTGATGACAACTTATACCTCTTAAAAGTGCTGAAGTTAATATGAAGGATGTTAAACTGTTTATTCGGGCTGTTAGACGTTGTCTTCTGAGATTGACTGAACTGACTCAGCTTCAGCTCACAAGCGAAGCAGTAACATCTCCAGAAGATGCCAACCCCTAGTGTTGACCAAACGTTGAGAACTAATCTCAGAAGACAACGGCCTAACAGCCCGAATAAACAGTTTAACAAGTTAGACGATGGCCGTGAAAGCCTAACGCATTTTATCAATATGAAGGATGCTGTGCACATGTCGGCCAAAACATATGACGAAATACCACTGTCGACGTTTGTAAAGTTTTGGAAAAAAACTTTGTCCAAATATAGAAGATATGATTCACTAAGCAAACACATCAGGAGATGAGCCAAACAACATTCTTGTTAACGAACTTGATGACAATTCAACTCTATTGCATGACCTTCAGCAACTACCGAACTGTGGTCCCATTGTTGAAGAAGATGTTTTGGAGTGGATCAACTTTGAAAAAGCGATACACAACGAGGTTTTGATTGACAAAGAAATTGCTGAGTGTGTCATTCGCCAAGAAAATGAGAAGAATAATGACACAGGTGCTGCTGAGAATGAAGAGGAAGATGAAGAAAATAAAATGAGCCATGCTGAAGGCAAAGCAGCTTTGCAACTGGCAGAAGTGTTTAAGAAGTCAAATCACCAATGTGCAATAATATTTTTAAATTTTATTAGGCCTAGAGTTCTGTAAGTATTGTTTTATAGTATTTTTGTAACCGTCTATCTTTTCATATATGTTAAATATATGTCAGAGTATTACTCTGTGTTATCTTCTACTTAAAGTACAAGTGTTTTGTTTTTGCTACACACCATAAATGGGCATTTTTTAGATAAGCATCAGTTAGTTCAGCCACTTTTAAGTTCGGCCTAGGTCCTGAGGTGGTTGAACTAATTTTGTTTTAAAAATGATTTTAAAAGAGTTTTGACCTTTGTGTTTTTAGGTTATTAATAAAGTTCAATATCAAAGGTATCATAAATAGGCATATGAATAAAGTTGTTAATAAACAAAATCTAACTAAATAACTCAATATAAATAAACTTAACCTGTATTCCACTGTTAAAAACAGTTAATTCAAATTACTTTTGCAATTTTTCTGAGTAAACGAGAATGATACAGAGCGTTGCTAGTTTTAAGCAATTTTTTGAAATTGATATAAAAATTGTACTTTCCACATTTTCATAGTAGTCTAAAGACGCTTCTTTATCTTAAGCTGATACAAATAATGCATCGTAATTCATCTATTCGCTGCACAGCAATGTAAAATAATAATCTATACTTTATTGAAAGGTGATATAAAAAATTTCATTTTTCTACATTATTTTATATTTCTTATATAATTATTTTTAAAAGATATCATTCTACCACTTTCAATATGCACCTGGAGCTTCTCTATAGTTTTTTACTTAAAATTATTAGGTTTGAGAAATAATCAAAGTGTTGTTGCTAAACAAGAAATAATTTTTCTTCAATACTTGAAAAAACATTTGTGTCTAAAGTTCATATATTTTTCTTGTGGCATATTCAATAAGACAGCATTCTATTTTTCTGAAGTTGTCACCATTATTTCTCGTCTTCTTAGCTGAAGATGTTTCTACTATAATTTCATAAACAGTCAATTTTGGCACCTATTAAAAAGCATGTTTTTGTACAGATACTTTTATAAACATTGTTTAAAGGGTGTTTGACACTGTTAGGGAAGTGCTAAAAATGTTTTTTTTTTATTTACTTGACAGTTTTAAATATTCCCATTGATTAAAAGGTTCCATTGGTTCTTCAGCTTCGTGTATATTGTCACATCATGGACACCACATTTTAAATCTTTGTAATATTAAACAAATTTAGAAATAACATAAGTTTAGCATAATATTACTAAAAAATATTAAAAAAAACTATATTTTGCATTACATGTATTTGCTTGGTTATCTGTGCAATCCAGAATAACAGTGTACAGGACTATAATCCAACCACATTTTAATTATTCTACTTTGATCCTACAATAGCTTCATTATCCATCAATGACTTTTATATATAAAATACTAAAAAATGAGTGGGTCCGAGTTGTCCTCTCCAGTCATCCCTATCCATCGCCTGCCCCTGCTAAGCATGTATTCCCATATTTCTCACATCCTGAGCTAAATCTAGCTGCATCTTATTTTAATAAATTTGTTTCTTTGAATTCAGATCTGCCTCAACATTTTACTAGATCAATCAACCAGATACAGATATTTTAATATTAACATCCATGTAATGTATTTCTTGTAGTAAATGTAAAATATTAAGGTTTCCTAGTACAATAAAAATGTCATTCATTCATTCAAATCAAGCAATAAATCCTTCTATACATACTGGTAAATCTGACATACATTTTATTAAATACTTACTTAAGCTCTTCATTCTCTCTCTTTCAGCCAATTTTTCCTCCAGGTCCTTATTATATGGCTCTGTTAAAGCTCTTGTTAATAATTTTGGTGTTGGAGTTCTTTCATTATTCAACTCTAGGTCTTCATCACTATAATCATCATCAGCAAATTTAGATAAATAGTTACACATCATGTTTGCTGTATTGTAGCTGGAAGGATAGGTCATAAGTTTCCAAATAAATGATTTTAATTTTGCAGCATTTCTAAGAATATTCTTACAATTATTGCAAATGCTACTATCATGAGCAATATAGTACTTTATCTGAAATGTATAAAATAACAAATAGTTATGATAATGTTCAGATTAAAATGTCTGCAATTGAAACAAAAGATACAGAGGATAGATGTGAAGCATTTTCGAATTATGTGAAATATTTTTGCCATAGAAAAATGTTTTGGTCTGTATAACTGCAGATTTTTTAAAACTATGTATGCTTTGAATACTCTTAATTAGTCAATTGTTTGCTTATCTTAATTGCTGTCAAATGTTTACATAATAGTACTTAGTTTCACATACTCCCTCTAGATTATAACAAATACATTATTGTTCAATATTTGAAACATATTGTCCTGCAATTTGTTGCTTAAAGCTTGTTTATTAATATAAAAGAGATCCTAGAAATTACAAAAAACTTTTACTATCATTTGGCATCCCAAAAAAATCCATTCTTGAATCAAATAAACAACAACTAACTGTAATAATGAATAAAAAAAACAAGTTTCCTGTAGGCTCTTAATATTTAACAATACAATTTTGTAAATATATTAAAATTTACCTGATCTCCAAATAGTTCTATTAAATCATCTTTTGCAGTACTAGAATTGCTACAATTTTCTTCGTTAATTTTATCTAGTGCCAAATCGTAGTTTTTACATATCAAGCAAGGCATTCTTTGTACTGCAATTATTCAAAAATTTGAAACTATGCTTGTAAAAACCAATAGAAGTAAAATCGCCGCTTAAGATTTGAAAGAAAAATACATTAAAACACAAATAATATTATCACGCCTCATCTCTGAAAGTGCATTATAAAATAAAAAATTTCTTTCAATAAAGTTCTTTTCTTAAAATTCTTGTTTACCACCGCAAAAAGATAGGTTACGTTCATTGTAAAGATATAAAACAAAATAAATATTTAAAAACACAGTAAACAGACTCTGAACTAAATAAACTCGCAGCCCGTTTTTGATTCAATGGTGATTTTTAAGAGGTACTAATCACAAAAGAGATATTAGGTATTTAGTTAAAACTAAAAACTTCAGAAAATTAACACTGTGCACCAGCTCTTCATCTAAAAAATAGCTAAGAAAAAAGAAAATCGATTTTCACCTTTTCTTTTTTACAAATCGTCGCATGTGACGTCAGATATGTCAACAATGTCAAGCACAATACATATTATACCAAAGAATATGAATATACAAAAAAATAGAGGCTTATAGAAGAATTATTCACTTCCCGTTTTGCAAGTTGAGAAAGGTTGAACCGAGTTGATCGCACGTTACAAAAAAGAAGGGAGGTGGATCGAGATCATTATGAATCGAGATGGATCGTTTCACTACAGAGTTGCCAGATTCGATTTTTTAAATCCCCCACTTGGAAACTAAAATTCCCCCAAATTTAAGCTCAAATCCCCCAAACTTAAAATTTTGTCGCATAATTACAATTTCTATAAATTTGAAAAGACTGTAGACTGGAACACACTGTACTATAATTGTTTTATACTATTTATGCTAAAACGATGGATTAGAATAATTTTTCATACTAAAACAATGACAACAATGTTACTTCACGATTTATAAAAACTGATATCACCAGTGATGTCACTTATATCACAGCCACCTTCTTCTTCTTTCAGTGCCTATTCATTCCGAATATTGGCAATCATTCTGGCTATAATTATTTTATTAACTGCTGCTTTAAATAAATTTGTTGTTGTTGTGGAGAACCATTTCCTCAGGTTCTTCAACCATGATATTCTCCTTCTCCCAATTCCTCGCTTTCCGAATACTTTACCCTGTAGGATTACCTTCAGTAATCTGTATTTAGTGCTGTTTCTCATTATATGTCCGAGATATTCCAACTTTCTCCTTTTAATGGTATACATCACCTCTCTTTCTTTGCCTACTCTTCGTAATACGGTCTCGTTGGTTATCTTGTCTGTCTATGATATCCTTAGAATTCTCCTGTACAGCCTGTATAGCCAGCCACAGCCTGTATAGCACAGCCACCTAAAGTTACTTTAGATAGCTGTGCTTATACTTAAAATTAAATTTAAAAAACATGATTAGAAAATCGGACGTCATTGATTATGAGTAGAATTGGAACGACGAGGCAGTGAATCCCATTTGTATTAACTCATTAATTTCCAAATTTCTTAGCCTTCCGTTTTAGTTATATTCTGTATTTAACGTCACTTTAATCCACAGCCGATATATGGAAGTACATATTTCTAAAACTTACATGACCACACGCCGGTGGTCTATTAAGACAAAATGATCTATATATCAAAACTAAAGGCCTATATTTTTGTAAAATATTTAAATAAGTACATTTTTTGGGTGCCTTAGAGGTATTTATACCGACAAAACCAGATATGAATAGAATAGCTTTTTCTTCTAGTTCTATGTACATTCGCAAATTTAATTATAACAATGACCACTGACCATCTAAAATCCTCCACAATTTTTCCCCCAAAAAATCCCCCATCCGTTTTAGCTCATAAAAATTCCCCCAGACGCTTTGAAATTACCCCAAAAATGGGGGGAAATACCCCAATCTGGCAACTCTGTTTCACTAGGGAGCGGTCATGTCAGCGCTGTTATTGCTTCTACAATATGAAAGAGTGGGGCAACAAATGCAACTGGATTTAGATGCCGCGTGGTCGTAGAAGAGGATTAAATTTTTGCATTTTATAAAAATTTTTAAAGAAAAGAATATATTATTATTATTATTATTATTATTATTTTAACTTTTAATAAATTAATCTTTTTAAAAAAATATGACTCAAATTTTTAATTCAAATATATACAAAAGTATAAATAATATAATTAAAACTCTCTTCTTATAAACTATAAATAAAATTAATTAAGCGTCAATCACCGGGAGAGAAAGGTCAAAAAATGTAAAGTGTTTCGATCAAAAAACAATTCCTGATCTTGTTAGTACGCTAGAATTGCTTTTTAACACATACACCAAAGAATTATTTTTTACAATTTGAAAATTCGAAATTGTGAAGTATAATTTCGAATTTTTAAATTAAAAAATAAGTAAGTCTCAAATAACTAATCACTAGAGCTCAACAAAGGAAGATAAGAAAAAGGCAAAAATTGCAGCTGGGGCATAGATCATAGCAAATCCTTAAACATCCAAATCAGCAACACCCGACGATAAAAAGAGACTTGGGGAGAATAACATCACCTCCTTGTAATAGAGTTGCTAAGAAATCAAAGTGCTCTAACGAGCAGACTAGGTCATAAAGCACCCTGACAAAGTTGTAGCACAGAGATACCATCCTGATACTCAACTAGATTGGGCTCAAGCAAATTTGATCATTAACAAACTAGAGCAAGCACTTGAGGCTCCTATCTAAGGTCAAAATGAACTCCTGCAGTTCCATAAAACATCGTTTAGCAAAGGGACTCTGTGGGTGAACTGTGTTAATGAGTATATAAAAAAATGGACGACTAAAGTGGTGAAGACTATTGAGGGCCTGTGGGAGAAAGTAAACTTAAATATAATTGTTCCAATAATATGCCCAAGTGCCCATGGTCCTCACCCGCGTCCCAAGAAAAAGCTTGATGAAGAAACTATCAGGACCCGTCTAAAGAGGCAAAATCAAGACCTTAACACCGAAGACTTATTGTGATCTCTGTTCCACAGACTGAACGACAGTAAAGATAAAGGTTATAGAGGGAGGAGTTATGAAGGAGATAGTTCTCAGATCAGAATACCTCCCATATGCTATCTATTCTTTTTCTTCCAGGCGTTCATCTATGAAGTTTTTGGGCCAACGTTCAGGCATTCTCAATACGTGTCCAAACCATTTTAAACCTCTTTTTTTCTATTCTGTTAATGACCGTTTCTGTAGCATTCATGTTATTTCTTATAGATTCGTTAGTCTTCCTTCCAGCCTTGATGTTCTAGCACTTTTTCTCAAATAATCCATTTCAACTGCCAACAATCTTCTCTTCAGGTCTGCATTAATTGTCTGTACTTCAGAGCCATAACAAAGAACCGACTCAACCATGGTTTGTCCTTTTTATTCCTTTGTTTGTTTTTTATTCCTTTGGACTTACTCCCTGATTAAGGGTAACTTGTCTTAGTCCTTTAGTTACTATTATTGGCTCTGATAGTTTATTACCGATTTTTATTTAAGTAGTGTTATCCCTCAATACTTCTGTGATTATTCCAAAAAGGTATGGATTAATGCCGAGTTGTTGTAAAGCTTGCCACAATTTAAGTCTTGGAACTGTATCATACGCCTTTTCTAGATCGATGAAGGCTAGATGTACTTCGTTACCGATCGCTATTCTTTTTTCTATTAATCGTTGGAGTATAAACTCCAATAATTGGTTGGTTGGATATAAGTTATCAGTGCTAGATCTACCAGGCGTAAATCCACTTTGGTCTTCGCCAATTAGATGTTCTACATTATCTTGTATTTTTCCATTTATCTTTCTTTCAAACAATCTCCCGAAAGTAGGTAGGACACGTAATCCTCTGTAGCAGTTAGGATCTTTAGGATTACCCTTTTTAAAGATGGACACTTGGTGAGCGGTTTTCCATTCAGATGGTACTTTAATTTGTGGCAGCATTGCTTCATTAGAAAAGTTATTCATTCTATTAGGAGTAGATCTCCTGTAAGAAACTCTACAGCTTACAGGAAAGAAAAGACGTTCAGCAGAGAATATAAAAGCAACTAATATCGCTTTGAAACCTGCGTATACTAAAAAAATACTACTCTCAGAAAATAAAGTTTGAGATTTAAATAGTTTGGTAAACAGCAACATAATTCCCAGCTATTATAAAAGTTTCTATGATCCTTTAAATAATTAGAAAACCCTGTTACATTTTTTGTTTATTGTTACCTACTAATGATTGTATTTTTCAGTTACTATGTTTAGTTTGGTATAATTTAATCTACAATCTAGATTTGCTTACTTTACACTGTTTGTTCAAGTTTCTGAAAATAAATGATAGTCTTAGTGCCGTTTCACATGTAGCCGACGGTCAGCGCTGACCGTCAGTAATGATAAATTAAATGCATTAGCGCAAACTAACCATTTCACATGCCTTGCGTATGATCAGCTGTGCAATGCAATGCATTTATTCATCATCACTGACGGTCAGCGCTGACCGTCGGCGTCGGCTACATGTGAAACGGCACCTAGACAGCAATCAAATTGTTATCAAGAACTACTTTTTTCCCCTTTCCTTTTTTGTCAGAATTTGTTATTTTGACTCATAATTTTAGGAGAACAATGACGCATTTGCTAAAGGGGGGTGAATTTTAACAAAAAAAGTTTTGAACTTTGGTGTGAACCTTATTGTAACAATTTTCCCTGAGTGAGTCCCAATTCAATAGAGAAATTAACTTTTGAATTATGGCATTTTAAAAAAATAATTTTCGGTTTTTTTCGTTTCCTGAACAATTATCATTTTGTCAGTTACGTCATTGTTCTTCTAGAGCAGCGATATGATATTCGATACCCCACATTCTCAGACAAAACTCATTAAAATTAATTGCTTTCACCAGCCTTAGCAGGAGAGACGATACGCCAATTACAAGGGGATTTTTAAAATAAACGTTAAGTATTTACTCGACAATTTTTACCTATAGATGCAATATAGCTTACAGTTGCAATGTAAATTTAAATTTTTTGCTTATCCCATATTTTCTCTTCAGTTGTTTGTTACTTATATAATATATTACTTCATTCTTAATTTGTGTTTTAATTATAAATAACTAAAATTATATATTATGTTGGGAACAGAGAAATTATAACTAAACGGAGAAGAAAAACAACACCATCACATGAGAACTACCTACATAATATAGAGGAATAATAAAAATGTAATAATATTTTAGCTTTTTATTTATAAAATTTACACATCTATTACTAGGAAACACATCAGTCTTCATATTTTTGTATTCTCTTTAATAATCATTCTATAATTTTTGTTTGCGATTCAATAAGCGCTATAGTACTCTTTTTTTTCGGCCAGGTCTGTTTTCATCTTTTCTCTTTCAAATTGCCTGTGTAATTTCGTCTCATTATATTCATTCTCCCATTTTTATCCTGAAATCTGAGTTTCTTTTTTCTAAATTTAACCTTTGTTCTTCTAATTCAGTTTTTTGCT